AAAGATGATTTCACTGCATTTCAACATTTGAAAAATTTAGAAAGTTATTACGAAAATTGTCTCCTTCAGCAAAAGATGGTGAAATTTCGTCAGACAAACATTTTAAACTTTTTTCATCAAGCTAAAGAATAATGTTTTTTTTAAATTCTCGTACCATGTATTGAAGCATTTATGTTTTTGTATGCGTATATGTACATATATTATATAGATATATAGCATAAATACATACTTTAAAAATGTGGCGAGTTTCTGTTTCATTTTTCTCATGATTATAATACCTCATTTCCTCATGATTATATACCCCGTTATTTATACTCTATACTTACATACTCTCTTTTAAACGGACACCTCCCATAAGCGGACAAAAGTTACGGAACCGTGAGTGTCCGCTTATGGGAGCTTTCACTGTATATATATATATATATATATATATATATATCAAATAAAGACATTGAAACTTCAATAGAGCTGTTAAATAATGATCGGAAAAACGGAATAAATTGGTTAAATGTAAATAAACTTAAACTGAACACAAACAAAACAAAATATATGCTAATAGGAAAATCTTTAGATCAAAATACGACAAATCTTTCAATTAATCATGATAAAATTGTATCAATCGAATTTTTAAATATTTGGGCATATATGAGGATAGTAAATTAAAATTTGAAGGGCAGTATGAATATATTATTTCAAAAATATCCAAGAAAATAAATTACTTTTATATAATTTCGCATAGCCTAAGCCTTTATTCTAAAAAAACTGTGTACAACACTATAATTCTTCCTCATTTATTATATTGTTCGACTATTTTGTTCACTGCAAATGAAATTGTATTACCAAAATTCAAATATTACAAAATAAAGCTATGAGAATCGTCTTAAATAAAAATAAATATAGTAGAATAAATGCAGAAAGAACTACAATGGTTAAATATCAAAAATTTCATAGCCTACTTGGTTTTCATTTTCATATTCAAGTAAAAAAATTATCTTCTACCAAATCGCTTAGAAAATTTTATTGTATTGTGTTGTATTGTAAGTCAGTATTTCAAAAGGGATTGTACGAATTTAATAAATTAAGTAATGATATCAAGATGTGTGTCAGTTTGAAAATGTTCAAAGGAAACTGAAAAAAATATGTCATGCTACTTGATTTTTTCTCTGGGGATACCTGAAGAACCGCGTTTACGCCAAGAAACTGACGATGATTACCTAGCCCAAGCATAACATTTCCGAGGAGATGTCCGCTATCCGATGAGCGATGTGCCAGCGAATTTTCAAGAATTTGAAGTAGAGATACGAGGAGTGCGCACGTCTCGATGGCTCTCATCTTAATGATGAATTTTAAAAAAATAAAATTTCCATGTGTCTACTTTATCAACAATCTTTCTTACGCTTTGTAATTTTTTTCAATGATTCTTTAAAATCCGCTCAACTTAATGGCCCACCCTGTATTATACACTGTGTTAGGTCTTTAGTAACTTTCAGCAAGGAATTTCAATGGTGACCTTGAATTTTACCTTGACCTTCACCTTCATGGTCAACTTTTTCAAATAAAAAAGGAAAAAATTTACGTTCATATACAAATTGAAGTCCAAGGTCATGGAGTCATCTAAAGGTCAAATGTGTGCTGCTAGGAAAACCTCTATAAATCTCACATGCTTAGTAACGAAAACAACTATACTAAGTGACATATAAATCCGAACACCCAGTTTAAATGGTTTTATTTTAATAAAATTTTGTATAAGTACTTAATGAAGCATAATAAGTAAATGATAAAAATTTCAAAATGGTTGCACTGCTTTAAAGCTCTTTGACCTTTAATAATGTGTGGATGCACCCTGATGTGCTACGCATTCTCCAACGCACCTAGGCATGCTTCTGATCAGGTGGTCAATGTCCTCCTGTGGTATCTCATTCCAGGCAACCACCAACTCCTCTCGAAGTGCTTCTAGAGTCTGAGGAGGACGTTGCAAATTGAGCAATCTCCTACCCATCATATCCCACAAGTGCTCAATTGGGGATAAGTCGGGAGATCTTGGTGGCCATGGTAACAATGTGACATCATTATGTTGAAAGAAGTCTATTGTGACTCTTGCAACATGTGGTCGGGCATTATCTTGGATTCCTCCTTTCACCACGTCGCCTTCTAACCCTGGCACGACCATCGTGCATGCCTAAACAAAATCGAGACTCGTCACTAAAGACAATACTGTTCCATTCCTGATTCCAGAGTGACCGTTGTCTGCACCACTCAAGGCGATTACGTCGGTGTTCTCGAGTTAAAGGGGGGACCCAGTGTGGCCGGTATGAAAACAAGCCAAAACTTCTCATTCGTCGGTAAACACTTCGCATGCCAATAGGTCTTCCGTGTTCTGCGAACCATTCATTTGCAATGGACCTGGTAGTGGAGAAACAGTCCCTTAAGGCCAATAATCCTAGGCGGCGATCTTCACGGTCTGTTGTTCTACGGCGGCGTCCAGTGCCCCTTGCTCTTTGCGTACGGCCTTCTCGAAGCCATGCCTGACAACACCTAACCACAGTGTCTACACTTCTTTGCACTCTAACTGCAATTGTCCGAAAAGAAAGTCCAGCTTCCCGAAGTCCCACTATACGGCCCCTATCAAACTCACTAAGTTGACGAAATCGTATAGCTCTCCGTACTCTAGGCATCGTAACCGATCGTAAAGGATGTCAAGAACCAAAATCCGCCAACGTTGATTCTTTACTGCGGCTGAAATATTCATTTTTAGAGCGTTAGTGAATTAAAAAAAAGCAGTATAAAAACTGGAATGTCCAACTGATAAGGCTGAAAATTTTTTCACTTGTTATTTACAGTAAGATAAATACATTCACCAACTTTTATTAAAATAAAACCATTTAAACTGGGTGTTCGGATTTATATGTCACTTAGTATATCATGATCAGGTCTTTGGTAAATTTTAACGATCGAGTGAATGGTGATCTTGGATTTGACCTTAATCCTCACCTTCAATGTCATTTCAAGGTCAAATTCATTTTTTTAATGGAAATCCCTATTTCTGATACCGGCAATAGAAAGAGCGGAACATTTTACGTTCAAATACGAATTGAAGACCAAGGTAACCAGTAAAGGTCAAATGGAGGTCAAATGTGTGCTGCTAGGAAAACCACTATGAATCTTAGAGTTCTAAAAATAAAGATCTATTTCTATACTAAGTGACATATAAATCCGAACACCCAGTTTAAATGGTTTTATTTTAATAAAAGTTGGTGAATGTATTTATCTTACTGTAAATAACAAGTGAAAAAATTTTCAGCCTTATCAGTTGGATATTCCGGTTTTTATACTGCTTTTTTTTTAATTCACTAACGCTCTAAAAATCAATATTTCAGCCGCAGTAAAGAATCAACGTTGGCGGATTTTGGTTCTGGACATCCTTTACGATCGGTTACGATGCCTAGAGTACGGAGACCTGTACGATTTCGTCAACTTAGTGAGTTTGATAGGGGCCGTATAGTGGGACTTCGGGAAGCTGGACCTTCTTTTCGGGCAATTGCAGTTAGACTGCAAAGAAGTGTAGACACTGTGGTTAGGTGATGTCAGGCATGGCTTCGAGAAGGCCGTACGCAAAGAGCAAGGGGCACTGGACGCCGCCGTAGAACAACAGATCATGAAGATCGCCGCCTAAGATTATTGGCCTTAAGAGACCGTTTCTCCACTACCAGGTCCATTGCAAATGAATGGTTTGCAGAACACGGAAGACCTATTGGCATGCCAAGTGTTTACTGACGAATGAGAAGTTTTGGCTTGTTTTCATACCGGCCACACTGGGTCCTCCCTTTAACTCGAGAACACCGACGTAATCGCCTTGAGTGGTGCAGACAACGGTCACTCTGGGATCAGGAATGGAACAGTATTGTCTTTAGTGAAGAGTCTCGATTTTGTTTAGGCATGCACGATGGTCGTGCCAGGGTTAGAAGGCGACGTGGTGAAAGGAGGAATCCACAGTTTTTTGTTGAAAGACATGTACATCACACTGTTGGAGTTATGGTTTGGAGTGCTATAGCTTATGGTTCCAGGTCGCCTTTAATCTTCATCAGAGGTAACATGAACGCGCAGCGTTATATCCACGAAGTTCTAGAACCCCATCTTTTACCCTATCTTGACACCCTGGCAGATCCAACTTTCCAACAAGATAATGCCCGACCACATGTTGCAAGAGTCACAATAGACTTCTTTCAACATAATGATGTCACATTGTTACCATGGCCACCAAGATCTCCCGACTTATCCCCAATTGAGCATGTGTGGGATATGATGGGAAGGAGATTGCTCAATTTGCAACGTCCTCCTCAGACTCCAGAAGCACTTCGAGAGGAGTTGGTGGTTGCCTGGAATGAGATACCACAGGAGGACATTGACCACCTGATCAGAAGCATGCCTAGGCGCGTTGGAGAATGCGTAGCACATCAGGGTGCATCCACACATTATTAAAGGTCAAAGGGCTTTAAAGCAGTGCAATCATTTTGAAATTTTTATCATTTACTTATTATGCTTCATTAAGTACTTATACAAAATTTTATTAAAATAAAACCATTTAAACTGGGTGTTCGGATTTATATGTCACTTAGTATATTGAAGGATAACGATCCGAAACATGATCAAATTTTCTTAAACTAAATATGAATCGTACACAGTTATTTTGTACTACAGATATTCGGTTACGACTTGCAACATCCAAATAAGGATGATAAACTAGATTGCAATAATTAAAAATAGATAACACAAAAGATTCACACAACTTTTTCCGCACTTTAAAATTCAGCAAATTTTTGTTCGCATACAGAGTTCTCAGACGGATGTAACTTCTTTGTAAGAGGTTATTTAAATGTTCACGAAACCGCACAATTTTAATTTTTTTTATTAAAATAAAACCATTTAAACTGGGTGTTCGGATTTATATGTCACTTAGTATATATGAAGGCGCCTCTTTCACTTAATAAGTAGGCACTTACCTTTACTATCGATTTTAGCAACTTTGTCAGAAGTAGCATCTTCCTCGATGTCCAGAGGCACTTGGGACGTGCGGTTGTCCTGAAATTATAATAGTGGTATTAGTAACTGCCGAGTTTCGAAATAGGTGTTGCAATTCACATATGGGTGGCCCATCCTCGTGGGTGTGAATATTGATTCTAAACACAAACTTAAAAAAAAATACTAGGGTTTTCTCAAAAATAAAGTACCCAACGCTGCATCTTTGAAGCGCGTGATGCTAGGCGAAATCTGGCAACACCGCCGTGTTTTCCAGCTGCCCCACCACCGATCCCAACAAGAAGCGCCTATTTGCGATTCTCAGTACCGACCCGATAGCCATGCGCAATGGAGCCCTTCATCAGTCATTGCCCATCCCCGTTACAGCCCTGACACAGCGTCTCCTAAATTGAAGGAGCACGTAAGAGGTCAACGGTTCGAGACGGACGAGGAGTTGCAAAGAAATGCGTAGAAAAAAATGACGACTATGGAGAAAAATAGCTCAAAGAGCACATTTCCAATGGTGAATTCGTTTTAAACAAATATAAAATTTCTTGTGCATGAAAAAATGTGGGAATCTTATTTTTGAAATAACCCTCGTAAACTTATTTAATCTCTTTCCTACGTTATAGGTATTTAATAACGAATTAACTATAACTGAAAGACTAGTCAAGATCGCTTGATCCCTATATCAGGGGAAAGCTTGTAAACAATCCAGAAGTGTTAGAATATACAATCAATTTCGTTTTTAAGGCAAAAGTACATTTTGTGTTTTTGGCCACTCTATATTGATCTATAAAGCAATTCAAAATAATGGATGAATCAGGGTGAAATTAAGAATAAAACATTATTTTTGACACAAAATTTTCTACTCCACCTGTCAAGATAGCAGATGCGTAGGTTGAAGGCTAAAATACCAGCTAGATAAAAAAAAGTAATAAGTAAAACCCAAAAGTAATATCATTCTTCTTTCAAAAGGGTGTATCAAAATACAGCAGACGCTCGATAATGTAAGCTAATTTAATCCAAGTGTGGTTCACATTATCGAAATGTTTACATTAGCGAACGTGATTTATATAATATTTGATTTACTAAAAGAAACGTTTAATACATACTATTTATAACAAAATAAACAAATATTCTAACAGCGATAAGTATTTTTTTAATTAGAAGAAAAATAATTAACAATTTTTGTCTGCGTAAATTTGCGCTTAGTATTGTCTTCCAATGCCTGCGCCCGTAATTTACGAAGAACTAAAATATCCGTGTGTGAAACTTCTTTTCTTTCAGCCCAATCTAAAGCTTGCTTAAAAACTTGTATAGCTTGCGCACTACACTTCTGACTTCAATGGGATCGTTCTCATCATCCTCACTGTCCATATCCTCCTCCTTATCAGCATCATTCGTCTGCTTATCTTCGTTCCATAAATTAATATCAGCAGGAGTACAAACAATGTTGGGATTCACTGTTTTCAATAAATCAACAACATCAAATGACACACTAATAACATTATCATTATTGGATCGCAAACGTTCTCTAATTACGCTTAAGGGGACATCGTCTTCTTCATCATCTTCATTATTGGTACAAAAGAGATTGTTCCAACATTTTTGAATAGTTTGCTGGTTAAGTTCATCCCAGGCCATATGTAAATCTAAAACAGCTTCTCGTAATGTTACTTTTTTAAAGCCTCAGATAAGTGTTCAGGATTCTTTGATAAGACAGACGAAAGTAGAAACTTCCTATAGCATAGTTTGGTGAGTCTTATTATATTCTGGTCCATCGGTTGAATTAACGGTGTTACGTTGGGAGGCATGTACATGACGAAAATTGACCCATCCCTGCTCCTCAGTTGTTGCTCGGGAGGATGACTTGGTGCATTATCCAATAGTAACAACGCTTTTATTGGAAGCTTCTGATGTTTTAGGAAACCTTTTACCTACAAATTGAAAACACATCTTCAAATTATGAATAGAGCATTTGTGATAATTGATTGTCATACCCGAGGGACAAAGCACCTGTGAAACCATTTCAGGAATATACTGCTAGTCATCCAAGCGGTTTTTGAACAGTCATAATCAACAGGGATATTAACATTTTTAAGTGAGCGTGGATTTTTTGCTTTCCCAATTACCAGTGGCTTTATTTTGTGTGAACCATTAGCATTAGTGCAGGCTAGAAACGTTATTCGTTGTTTCTCCGGCTTTCTTCCCGGGGCAGATTTTTCAAATGATGCAGCATAGGTTTTCTCTGGTAACATTTTCCAATAAAGGCCACTTTCATCTGCGTTGTAAATTTGTTCCATTCTTAAATCTAGCTCGGTAATTGTTTTCATCAATTTTTCTTTGAATGGTTGCACTAATTGTGGTTGTGCTGATAATTTTTCACCAGATATAGACATCAGTCGAATTCCATATCTTGTTTTGAATCATTGTAGCCAGCCATCACTAGCTACGAAATTTTCAGTTTCTTTCAGTTTTTCATTTAACAGTCTCGCTCTCTGTTTAAGTACTTCGCCACTAACTGGGACATGATTTTCCCGTTGTTTTAAAAATCACCTATACAGGGAATTTTCCATTTTAGGTGCCTTCGCATTTTTTTAAGTTTGTCTTTTTCCCCTCCAAATGTATTGCACGTTCTTTGTAAAATTTGAGTTTTCATACGCTTAATTTTACAGATTGTTGCTTTCGATACTCCATATTTTTTTGCTGTGTCACTCCCGCACCTAGTGCAACTTCGTCTATGATTTTCGCTTTCTCACTCAACTTTAAACACTTTCTTTTATAGGATATGGATGCCATAGTCGTAAAATATATTAACGCGTGCAATGTATTCACTTAAGTTCAAAAATGAAATACATACGTACGTATAAACGTATCCTAAACGATCATACGACTGACCGAGTTTGTCGCATTTTATCGCAGAGGTGAATCCCCTACACTCTACATCATAAATCGGGGACTCCCCGACGCCCGACATAAATCATCGAGGCTTCAGCATCTTACCGTCGCGCTGTTTCCGTGCGCCGAGAGTTGTTTACGTTATCGAGCGTACACATTGTTTACGTTATCGCGCGTTCCGTTTGATCCTATAGAACGAAGTTTGTGTTTACATTAGCGCAAGTTTTCATTATCCCGTGTTTACGTTATCGAGCGTCTGCTGTATGTAATAAAAATATGGAAACCCATTAACAAAACAACTTGGATATGTGGATCAAAATTAGGACACCCTATATAATTGTATTTAATATGCCCCTGGGTATTAAGTGCACATATAATAACCCATTGAGTTTTCTTCGGGAAGTTTTTGTTTAGAAGCAATATTTCGTCTCTACATGGGTAGGGGTATAGCATTTTTTCAAAGATTTTAATATCGAGTAGCAGAACTGATTGCAAGAACTTCATCATATGCATACGTATGTTTTGTCTTCCTAATATACAGGGTGACTTGTAATGTCACGTATTCCTGTTAAGGGATGATAGATTAGGTCAAAAGCAACCGATTTTGTCCTATAAAGTCCTATCCAGAAGTTAACCGTTTTTGAGTTATTTGAATTATTTTTTTTATTTTTTATTCCGATTTCAGATGGTTAAATTTGAAATACAAAAAACTACATGTTTGATTTTGAGGAATTTGTATTACCTGTTTGAACAAGTCGTTGCTGTCCTCAAAGGACTCGCATGCCATGATTGTTTTATGGCATTGGCTCGACGAGGAAGCGAGCGAGAAGAGCTGACTTAGTGGAGGAGTGAGAGAGAGAGAGAGAGAGAGCTGTTATTATTAATCATTGTAGTTACGCCATCTCCGCACGCCGAGTGAGAATTAGGTTTAGTTGGTATCAACTACTGCGTACGCGCACCCGTTTTACGCACGATTATTATTTTCGAGTTTCCCAGTTCATTTTGAGTGGTTTCTTTATCATCATGGCAGACGCAGAAGATCCGCCAGGACCTCGCCATAGCGAGCACGGGCAAACTTTTACAAATGAAGAATACGCAGACATAATGTTCTGTTATGGACTTTGTAACGGCGATTCTGCAGCTGCCCGCCGTGAATATCGGCAACGTTTCCCGAATCGCCGAACACCTCATGTTACTGTGATTGACTCTGTGTATCGGCGCATCCGCCAAACCGGACGTGTTCAAAGGCAACATAGTGATGCTGATCGACCCCGAGTCTATCCTCCTGAAGATGAAGAGGAAATCCTTTGTGTGTTTCAGGAAGACTCTACTACGCGCATTGTGGCTGCTCAGTTGGGTATATCACAATACAAAGTATGGTTTACTGTGCATACTGCAAGATCAGCCTTATCACTACACGCCTGTGCATGTGATTGAAGAGGGCGATCCTGCAAGACGATTAGATTTCTGCAGGTACATGTTACATGCAGATACAGAAGATCCAGACTATTTTAAGAAAATTCTGTGGACCGATGAATCGAAGTTTGATAAGGACGGGATCACTAACTATCATAATGCTCATTACTGGGCTGATAAAGAAGCTTTAAACCCCCGAAAAATAAGACCGACGGGGTCTCAGAGCCGGTTTTCAGTCAATGTGTGGATGGGCATCATTGATGGATATTTAATTGGACCTCATTCGCTGCTCGCCAATTTAAATGGAGAAGTGTATGAAGAGTTCTTGAAAAATCACTTGTTTCCATTAATGGAAGACGTCCCATTGGCGACGAGACAAAATATGCGGTTCCAGCACGACGGCTGTCCCGCACACTACAGTAGATTAGTACGGGCGTATTTAGACTCTAAATTTCCAAATCAATGGATTGGCAGATGCGGGCCCATTGCCTGGCCAGCAAGAAGCCCAGATCTCACACCGATGGATTACTATGTGTGGGGACATATGAAAAGCCTGGTGTACGATGTTTCGCCCGTACCAACGCGCGATGAATTAATTACAAGGATAATCAGAGCAGCGGACCAAATAAAAAGCCGCTTAACAACTAGAGTTACCAAAAGTGAATTACATAAGAGAATGCGGGCGTGTATTCATAACAGGAGATTACAATTTGAGCAGAATCTGTAAAATACTAAAGGAAATGTAA